TGAGTTGTATTTATTGTTAATAAAAAAAGATATTATTTCAAATGGCTAATTCTAAACGAAAGTACACATTCACTAACGAGATGCAAGAAAATCATCCATGTTCTAGAAAAGACAGGAATGATTATGAGGCAGAATGCTTGGTTTGCAAACCAGGAACCTGTATTATCTGTCGTGCACAATGGTAATGGTGATTTAAACACACATCTGCAATCAGAAAAACATCGCAAAGCAGTAAGAGGGGCAGTTGCATCAACGAAAATGACAAATTATTTTGTTACAACAGGAAGTAAATGCGAAGATGAAATCACTGCCGCAGAAGGCACTCTTGCATTTCACGCTGTTAATCGTCATCATAGCTTTTTATTCAAGGACTGTACATCTGTTTTACTTAAAAAAAATTCCCTGATTCTAATGTAGCGAAGAAGTTTAGTATTGGCCGCACAAAGACAGAAAAGGTTGTTACTAGCGTATTTGCGCAATATTCTATTGATGCTGTTCTGAAAAGTTTTGAAGAAAATGATATCGCATGACATATTATCTAACAATACATTGTTTTTATTTACCTATTATCAATGTAAAGGATGATGTTTTTATGGCAACTTGCCCGCGGTACGTCGTTCAAATGACGAGTATAAAATTTATTGCAAGTGTAATGCATTTTAGATTAAGCTGCTGACAGCAATATGAGCTTCCGAACGTGCAGATTACACGTTTTGCACAGTCGAACAAATGAGCTGTGGCTTAGTCTCGGGTATAGGGGGCGAATTTTCGATGAGACGTTTCGTAACGAGTTTAACATTAAATACCTCAACTATTTGCACTTTGGAATGTTCGACCCTCGTCGCGAACTTCCCTCCGTTTCCAAGACAATTTTGATATCAAAATTAACTCGAACGGCATAGAACTGACACTACTCATAACAAAACAAGCGTCGTACAGCAGCACTTGTTATCACATAAATCTGTGTGTGGACAATAATAAATTTGGGATCAATTTTTGTTATATGTATTAAATGTCGGGTCGTTCGAGGGCCGCATTTGGCCCCCGGGCCGCAGTTTGCCGACCCCTGATTTAGAGCTATATTTAGAGAGTGCTTACCCGCCTGGTGTGAGATTCTGCTTGTGACCGAAAACAATACTTTTCATTTCGGTAGCTGGCGCTTTAGAATAAGTATCGTATAGCGTTTGCAGCCTTGGCATTTCGGTAGCGCATATATATGCCCTCATGAAAATACGGAGCTCTTGAAGTATGTGCACCAAGATGGCGCACAACCTGAACATAGTATAGGTTGTGCGCCATCTTGGTCCACATACTTCGGGAGCGCCGAAAATACTCATGCTGCACTGTCCGGAATTTTGCTTTTTCAAATATGGTAACCCTAACATACATATTTAAGTGGGGAAGGGCGTAAGCAGTAGTGGGATTCAGCCGGTTCGCACCCGTTCCATGGAACCGTCTCACGGAATTTTATGAGATCAGCGAACCGATTAGCTTTACTGGTTACTGTCAATGTTCTGTTTGTAACAGAACCGGCATAATATTTTTATGACACTCAAAACTTTTCAGATTGATTCCAAAGATAGTAAAAAAAATATATAAATATATGTTCGTTTATCATTACCATGAGCATTTTTCAAGATTTTAAATAGAATCCCATCAATTTCAAAACATTCTTTCTTGAAGACTACTACATAAATAAATATCGAATGATAAATATATTTATCTTGTTATACCATCAATTGAAGTGTGTATATTTCAAATACGATTTCAAATTAATTTGGTCGACTAGTTGTGTTCATGCATTTTTTGTTAAATACATGTCTTGAAAATTGATGTAAATTTGGTTGCAACGTATGAACTGAATATAATTTTATCTATATTTTCTCATATCCAAACACAGATAGACTAAAATGAGCTAATAGATACAAAACAGATCCCCACAGTTTCCGGTCTTACTTCTGATATAGTGATACTGAAATGTTCAATCAATTTTAAGAATATTGTCGTATTCCGTAAGACTTTTGTAATGTAATTAAATTTGACTTTGAATGCTGAAGATAATATACAGTTCCAGAAATAGCCATATGGACCGTATTGCTAAATCAATGTTGTTGTTGTTATATCAACTTTTTGTGGGGGAAATCGCCCGGTAACTAATTTACCAATTTTCAAATTTTCAGTACTCAAGGAGAGAGAAGTCCCAATGAGGTCTTTTATTTTATTTTTCTCTACTATATCCGATATTTCACTCGAAATTGTGTGGTTTCATTCTAATTTATGAGTTCACTGTACTACATTTATTCCGCTATAGGGAGGAGAGAGTCAATTGTCCCTACTGCGTGTTCGGCCCGCGTGTTATTGGGTTGACACACGCTTATTTGAGCACAACTACGATCTGAACTCCTCAGAAGTCAACAAAGCACACAATGTATTGAATGTCAATTGTTATATTAAAAGATGCACAATCCCATCCAAATACAGATAAATTCGAAACACACACTTGACGTCTTAATTCAGTAAAATCGGAATAAATCACAAGCACCATATATTTTTCAGCGCTCTCGGCGTGTCTGGAAACGATATATATGTCATCAAATTGGTCGCTTACAAAGAAGGCTATATCGAATTTAGGCTTTCTCGCTGTCGCGAATCATAAAGTGGCCTATTTTGTAGAATGTAACATCCTATTAATATGAAAGGGTTAAATAACATTATAATCCATAGTTATTAGTTACACAATACATATTCGCTACACCGCCTCGTTTTGTTTTGCCAACTTGGTGCCCAGTACTCGAAGTTACAGCCACGGAGTAACATGAGGTAAGTCATGTCCGTCGTCAGCCTACCAGGTAAATTTGGCGTCGCTTAAACTGAATAAATGTCCCATTGAGTAAATATGATGTCATGATATATATGGTCAAGTCATCGATGAAAATCGGGTATTTTATTCAAAATTGGGCACTTTGACGTAGCCATTTGTCCCTCGTGTCCTCACATTCGACCATTGCGCCCTTGTCTTGCATATATTGATCAGAATAAAAATATCGGGATTGAGTGACTAAATCAACGCTCTAGTACTGAAATATATTATGTATAAATGACGATAACAACTGAAATGAATACACCTTGCACATACAACTTATTCAAAATCCAACGTTTCTTCGCGATTTGTAGTGCAATAACAATGAATGAGGAAATCCGTTATATTCATGACTATAAACGAGACTTTTATGTTGCGAAATGAGCTTAATTTTCGTTATTTCCAAAATCTATTTTAGTTCAATACTTTTGTTAAAATTACGTAATTTAGTCAATCTTTACTATGCGACATATTTTAGTTCTGTTTCATTCAATACCGATATTGATTTGTTCTGGAAACTGAAAGTTTGAGAAACCTCATTTGAATGAACTGTCACGAGGATTTATTCAATTAATTGGCCACAATTTTTTTAAATACTGATTTGGTACAAAATACTACAGCTACGAGTAGTCATACTAAAAATTTAAATTACGTATTGATATCTATCCGAGTTTCAATTTTCCGCAGCACGTTTTACGGTGACGTTGCTGAAACAAAAGTGAAAACAAGTCGAGTTTCATACAGACCAAGTCATGGCTTCCTTTGCCGGAATTTGAGTTTTCATTTCACGTTCAAGAACACAAAAATTAAAGATAGTATAGACAGATATCGAGCGAGTTTCGATGGGATCTGAGTATAAAATCTTCATTCGTTATATTCTTCGTCAGATTAATTGTTCACGCCGGATTAGTTTAGTGTTTGAACACCGAATAAAACGTTTATTTGTAGATCGAGTGCATGCAGTGAATAAAGTATTTTTTAAGAGCAATATAAAGTGGTGGCATTGAATACGCATATGCCAATACAGTGACGGAATGCACGTTTTTTAGTCTTTCGATAAATTTCCTTATAAGTTATAGCAATTCAATGAACTTTCTAGCGAGACTTGACCCTGTTTGATATCAAATGACCGTTTTCCAATTATCCTATTTAAAACTATATAAATGGGATACCATTATTTCAATTATTTTCCAATGTAAATAAGAGTTAATAGCGAATAAAAGAGTTTTTTTTATCGTGTTTCGACTTGAATAACAGCCGCAGGGCCACGTTTTATTGCAATAATTAAATCACGGCTAATATTATACTAAATCATGCGATAAATCGATTTTATCAATTTTTGATTAGGACCGTTTCGAAAGTTAATCCCTATCCAAGTTTCGCATTGCCTTCGTTTATTTTTCAAAATTATAATTTGCTTCCGAAACCAGAACGTTGTACCTTTAGTTGAATTTCAGTAATTGTGCGTTTCAGAGCCGAATAACTCGTAGCTTTTCGTTCGTTTTGTCATCAAACTGCTAGGCTAGCCTACGGGCAGATGAGATGTGCGCCAAGGTACTTAGCGCAAAAATGACACAAGTATTAACCCTTTCACATTTTTTTCTAATAATCCGAAATGTTGTAACGGTGACAAGAGTATGTAAAGAGTTAGCATTTATCCGATACAGCCTTATTTTTGTTTGTGAATTATTCTGTAGTCATTCGCTATTATTTCATTAATTGAATATGACTGTGAAAGTGCTCCAAGGGTAATGCCAGCATAGGACTTGAAATAAGGTCGTCAGAGAAGTATGCAAATATATCATAGTTTTAAATTATTTTTTGCTCGTCAAGTTAATTCGAATTTGAGTTTTGTCTGCGATTCATTATTGTAAGATTTTTAAATTGCTGTCAACCGTGGTAGTAAGTTTAGGGCATTTGTGATTTTTTTGAAGTTAGATTATGCTTTCGAAATTCACATTGGATTTGATTTATATTATTTATGTGCGAAGCTTATCTTAAATATATAGTTTACGCATAACATCAGCAGACTATTATTCAACAGCAGTAAATACGAACGTGCGTTCATTGTAATGATTATAAAGCATGACATATCTTTGTATTTCTAAGTTATGACGACTAGGGCTATGCCTTTCAAAATATTGATTTTATATTTTAATTTTCTTTCAGTTAAATTTATTTTATGAGTACGTTAAAATATAAAGTCCATTAAAGAATGAAAAACTATGTTATTAATTCCAAGCTTCTGTTAGTGGGAATTATCTTTTTATTTAAAGGTATATTGACTAAATCTATGTAAGAATTTTCATCATTTTAATTTTAATCAAGTCTATTTAAATAATACTAAATTGACGGCCCATACTCAGAATGCTAGAAAATATATATAAATAGAAAATAAAGCAAGCCAAAACAAAGCTATATTCCATTCCCGAAAACGTAGCAAAGTTAAGTTACTGATAATTCACTAAAATATAGACTGACAAAAATAACAAAACTAATTCATTCATTTAGGCATGAGATGGCATGGCATGCCTATACCATATATGCAAGAATAGTATAAAGATAAAGGTTCTAAAACATGCTGCAGTATTCTGATATTCCGCCAAAATTACTAAAAAAATAAAACTATTGCAATTTTATTATATAGAATTGCGTCCTGTGGCCTTGGAAGATGTTTACGGTTGTCACGATTTAGAAAGGGAAACCATCGCAAAATATGGAGAGGAGGCGAAAAGATATCATTGGTATCCCAAATGTCTAACGGGTGGATACTACCAGGTGATTAAAAATATTAGCACAACAACTCCAAAATTTTTTATTTTATTTTCTATCTTGGTTGAAGTTACTTATATTGACTATGCAGAAAATAGCTTCCCCGTTAATGTTTTATCGAGAATAGATTATATTTTACTGCCTGAGATTTCAAATTGATAAGTTTATTCAAATCGGATTTATTAATTTGCAATATCTAACCAACAGATTCACTATATATATATATATACTATAGACGTAAATAGGCCAGATACTAAGTACAAATTACAGCATAACTCTCGAAAAGAAATCGTGTGCCGTATAACAATATGCAAAATGATTTTTACTCCAAATTTACTCAACAAATATATTGCATTGGACTTCCTACGTCACGAAGTTTAAAGTAGAAGACTGTTTTTCGTAGAATATCATTTTTAAAGCAAACGTTTCCAATATTTATTCGGTTTTGCTTATGTAACCGTAAACCTAATTTAAACACATTATACATCCTATGTTTAAATTTAAAATTGGAAATTGTTACATTGCACTATTTATTAAAAGTTTTTCCTATTTTTGAAATGCAAATAAATATTTAAATTATTTATTCTATGATTTATTTTGTACTAGAATGTGCAATGCAATTTCGGAGGATGTTATTGTGCTTATCTGGATACTGGATTACAAATACCAAACACCTACGAAAATTTACTTGTACAGTATATGAAAGATAATTGTCCTTGGTTGGCAAATAAAATGCCGGACCCATGTACACCGCCTCCAAAAGAATTTCCGTGCAAAGCGGCTTCAACAAGGTTTTGAATTTTATTCATTTATTATTGGCTATAGACATAGCAGATTTGCATTGAAAACTTGTAGGACGTAAGGAGTTGGAATTCGACGGAAATTAAATACTGCAGTTTTTGCCATCTATGTCTAATTTCACGCCGTCTTTATACAATATCAAATTTCTCCCCGTTCTACTGCATCGTGTAGCGCAATTGAGATTAGAAAACTTTTCAGCGTGGTGTATTTAGAGAGAAAATCTTGGATTTAAAACAGTACTGTTTTTAATAGATTGGATTTAAAATATTACTATTTTTTGATAGATTGGATTTATAATATTACTATTATTTGATAGATTTTACTTCAACCCTGCCAGCGGAGAGTGCGAGGAAGGTAGCGAAATGTGTTTGGGATTTGAAACACAGGAGTCCTGCGCAAAGTCATGCGGTAAGTATATCCATTACTTCCACCAATGTGAACATTTCCAGCTCTTTGAAAAGCTTCTATATAGTGCTCGAGACAAGTGATAGCCACTTTGTACTATCCCATGGGGTCCCTTGTTCGATATATTATACAATTCATCATGTAATATATATAACGCCGGTCAGGATGTTATTTCCATGAGATGATTTTAAGAAATAAGTACATATTTACAGTCACACTGTAACTTCTTTATAGTGGTGAAGAAACGACACAGGTGTAACTTCCGAGCCAGCAAAGGAATAACTTGCGACAGACGTAAACCTGGTGAACGATGGTATCACGATGAAGATCAGGGAAGCTGTAGACCATTCTACTATGAAGGCTGTGGCGGAAATTCGAATAACTACAGAGAAAAATGGACGTGTCTGAAAACGTGTGGTACGAGAAAAAACTAAGAGCGTTATTCGCAGTTCATTTTATATTATTGTATATTGGATGGTAGCAATTGGCAACTTATAGAAATAACTGTAATGTAATCAATAGAGCAATGCTCAAAAGGCTGGATCAATTATTAAGTAAAATAAGCACGTGCTCAGGGCATTGTGGGAAAGGGAGCAGCAGGGAGTCGAATTTTCAATGACGCTTCAATGTTTAATGAAATAAATCAAGTTGCTCTTACGACTCATCCTCCATCTCTATAAACGATTGTAGGCACGAGAAAGAACTATTTCCAAAAATATTATGTAACTTAATCATAATTTGGCCTTCAATTAGTAATGAATACTAAAACTTACTTATTCAATTTTAGATAAGACGGAACACTAGTTATATTTCTATTATTATTTTTTTTATATGTAGGGTACGAAAGTCTTAAGTGCTTAAGGCCATGATCCGGCCGTGTGTTTAACCCAGTACCGGTGGCGGTAACCAATATCACTTACACCGAAATTCGTTATATGATCATATAAAAGCTTCAAATAAAACTGGCAAATCTATTCCCACCGCCATACATACTCCTATCAGTACCGGTATCAGTAGAGTAAGCAAGAAAAACCCAACAACAGCAATAATTTACCAAAAGTGATCTATATATATGTATACGTCGTCCCCAGATACTAATAGTCTTTTTATAAAAAATTTTAGAGAGAATTCATACCGCGGAACTGATAATCCAGGTTGAGAAAACGAAATACATTATAGGATTACCAACGTGGCTGGTCGTCAAAAACCTTTACGTTCCTTCAGCTCCTAACGTTATAACGTTCGATGAATTCAAAGAAATAGAGGGCTACATGACGGAGATAGCAAGATTCCCATCCGACGGTAACGACATCATAATATTTGATTTAGTCGCGAGGCAGCCATGGCCCAATTGTTTTTAAAATCGGGATAATATTAAAAATACGTGCTTGATGGGAGACAGAATTGAAGCTCAGAACCGTTTGTTTTAACATCCGCAATGTATTTGGAAATTCCCTAGGATACAACGGCAAGGGATTTGGCGTCCTTAAAAAATTTCTCGGGCGTGACAAAGGTTCTTTTAAAGTCTAATATGGTAAATTCAGTATATAAGTTCGCACCATGACTTTCCCAAATAAATGATCGACATAAACCGCTGGTTTGAAAATTTTTTCAATGAATACTGCTTTACGACAGTATTATGTGTATAACTACGCGTTTATATCTTTGCGAACGTAGTAAACCCAACAATTACGCCATGTTATGTCTTTACTTTAAATTGTTGAATCGCCCAAACTGCGCTATCCTGGGGACTGTCAGTACCATAGCCTACTGATAGCAATATATAAGTAAACACCCGATGAGCATAACATAGGAATCTTCGATATTCAGATAAAGAAAGAGAAGGAGAAATTGACCAAGAGAGAGAGCAGTTTCGGCCAGAACATGCTCCCAAAAACATGTCCATAGATACATTGTGTAACCAGAAAAAGCAGTCAGGGCCATGTAGAGCGTTAATGCCCAGATGGTAAGTGAATAACATTGGTTGATTCATAACTTAGTTTAATGTAGCCTATGACAGTGCAATATTGATAAACGTTGCAAAGAGCGTAATTTATGTGTATATATGTCACATTATATTGACGAAAGTATTTACATTACAATTGACTAACGTACATTTACTGCAACCCGAATGAGCCTTCATTCAGCTTTTGGTCTGAACATCTGTAATATTTCAACGTCATATCTTTTTCCCAAAGGTACTTTGATAAAAAGCAGTCGAAGTGTGTCAAATTCATATACGGTGGATGCCTTGGGAATGCGAACAGACACAAGACTGCCCAGGGATGTGCATTTTTTTGTAACGCTAAAGTGAAGCCTTCAGCTAAAGACAAGTTCGACGACTTGATAGCCACGGGTGGAAAAGGACCTTTCGGTACCCTGGCACCTCCTATACCAAAACCCGATAACAAAGGAAAACTCGATGGTTCGCGAGATCTAGATCTTGGCCCACCAATCCCGCCTGGAGCCGAGACCACAACGGCGGAACCCGAAACTACAAGACCTGCTGTGGTTGAATCCGGCGAAGAAGCAGAAGTAGAATTCATCTTAGAATAGCCAGAGGGTGGAACCAAGCTGTGAACTGTTGAAATCCTTGTAAATTTAAAGACGCCTACATATCAAAATTATGAAGTATTCATCGTATGTGAAGCTGCTTCTTCGTGTTTTTCCGACTTTAGCTAATGGTAGGCTTACCATACGTCCCGCTTTAGGCGGGACAGTCCCGCTTTTCAATGTCTTGCCCCGGTGTCCCGACAGGTCAGCCAAATGTCCCACTTTGGCGTTCAACCAGTCAGCATAATACACGAACAATGCCAAATAGAATGTTCTTGATTCTGCTGTTGCTGTGTAGCGTACCGTTAGCCTTCTTGTTGGAAGCGGGTTTGTTCGTTTCGTTTGCTACATTTTGTTACGTGTAAGCCCCGTACGCCAAAGGGGTGCTTAACGTTAACGTAAATTTATTTATACTTTTTGAACTGAAACGATATTTAGACAGACAGCGCATGAACTTTCGATTACAATATGGTCAATGAATACGCTCGGGATGGTTTTGAATGTAGACCCCAATATAACACTTGAAGGTGCAAAAATCACAGCTATGGTCTTTGGAGGCGTCCCGCTTCGATATCACAAAAATATGGTAACCCTAGCTAATGATGTTCAAACTGAATTATTCGGAGATTGTTTCGTCATCAAAATCGTCTGAATATATATTTTTGTGCACTTATAACATCGGCTAATCAACTTAAGTATTGCCAGAAACGAAAATAAAGCTAGAATTTCTTCCACCTAGAATTGATTTGTGCAAAGGCATCTATGCTTACTTGGATCCGCACATAAAACAGTTCAATTTTTATTTCGAGCAAGGTCGGCGAGATGGCGTAATTATGTAGCGGAATATAGCTACTTGCCAAAGTCGTGTAGGCCTACATGGAGGGATACAATTCATCGATATTTTTAATTTCGGCGTTTCCTACTAGTGGAGGCAAATGCTACATAACCACATGCTTCAAAAATGAATGGAAAACAATACAGTATATTCTTATCAGATGCACTGTATTTCAGTCGATGAGTACAAAAAGGTTATGTATATAAATCGCCATCACAAAATTAGTTAATGCCAAAAGAGTTTTCACCTACTCCTGAAAACTATGAATACGAGATGTCTCACACAACCTAACAAAATGATTGCCAACCATATAATTCACTCTGCAGTTGTAGATAGAACCAAAGTTCAAGCAGTTAAAAAATTGTCTCATAATTTGCTAAAAAATTGTATGATTTTAAGAAGGCCCAGGCTTTATATTATGCGAACATTCCTGGCCAATAATACAAAAATGATCTTGCTTTGCAAGTTTGTGAATAAAGGCCCTGGATCACATGCCCTTCTATCGTATTTTGACTAAAAAAAGTTAAGAAACATTCTTTCTTGAAGTGCAAATTCACATTTCCATCTTTTCGACAGTGTTTTTCTCATTGCCTGCCGTGGAACCTCCGCTTGATCTTTCTGTATTAGCTTCTTTACTGTCTTGTGCTTGATTACCAGCCTGTCCATTCTCCGCTGTCATAAAAATTGAGCATTTTTATCTTTAATATCAGAAATTGGGAAATAATTGCTCATGAAGGTTAGCCAATAAATAATTATTAGTAGTTACTTGGTTGATTTGTTCAAAAACAAAGGTTTTAAAGATAATACAAAAAAAACAATACAAAAATTGTGGGTATTCGCTATAACGTTAGTCAAGATAACTAACCTTCTTTAGTTGATGAGATTGATTGAGATGTCTTACTTTTGTCCTCTTCTGTTGTGGCGGCAGATGTGTTTTCTTTATTGTTGGTGACAGAATCCGATGTATCCATTGCTTCTGTAGCAACAGTTTCACTAGATTTTTTGTTGTCATCCGCATCCGGTTTCACATTTTCCGCATTCGTTTTCGCTTCCACAGATTTAGCATCTATAGTTCTTTTCACATCTGAATTTCAGAAATGAGTGTTTAATCAGATTCCATTTTGACGACAAACATTGTTACCAGAAAATCATATTTAATTTTAATAATCACTTTGCCTACTTCTGTAGTAGATTGTTAATAGATTCAAAATGATCAATAAACTCATTTAAGTCATTTTACCTATGTTTCGAAGTGTATATTGTTTGTCATGGCCCATGATTATGGAATGCGAACCACAAACCTGTGATCTTCATGTCATTTTCTAACTTCCTTTTTTTCTTGTAAATTTCTTCATTTTTTCGTCCACCCTCTCCTTCATCTTCAGAATCCGAAAATTCATCATCTCTCTGTATTCTTTTGTCTGAAGCCCGCACTGTAGAAATATATTAGAAATGAAAAAATTAAATCAATCAATTCCAATCACTGGATACGCACACCAAAAGACTAAATGTATCAACAACTCAAGAATATATTATGGTACAAAGGGCAAGAATCTTATGACAGAAAATTTCTGAGAATCCTGGCTTTCGAAGTTGAGTTTTAATCGAGAACTATAACAAAATTAAACATGATTGTGTCATCCTGATAACAATCACATGCAAAACTAACATTACAAGGAACAATGAAAGTGAAAATCAACACATCAAAATTACTTGAAATTCTCTTATTGGGGTCTTCAGTTTCTTCGTCATCGCTTTCTTCTGGTACACCATCGGGTGGAATTTCTATAACATAGAACTTAATATAAACTTATATTGAATAAAGTTAATAAAGCCAATGGTCCAATGCCCATCTGGAAATGTATGCAACATTCTGCACAATGTGTCAAATTGACTTAAGAGCTGTGTGTAAATCGAACCTTTGCTTGTAGAAATTTGAAACGTTAAGTGAATGTAAAAAAAACCTTGACCTGTGATGATAATGTGCACTGCAAAATGTTTCCTTTTTAAAATATAAATATTTATATTCAAACAAAAAAAATAATAATGTGATCTAGTCCCCAGATAAGAAAAAAATTAAGGGTTAAGTTGATTGAGAGATGGGTATGAGACATTCTCAAAATAGTAACAAGGTCGTAAGACATTGAAAAGTGAGTGAGTATAGCTGTACTTTGGAAATTTGGAATCAGATACATTACTGATTAATAAGTTTGAGGATGCATACTCATTTCTAATCCAATTGAAAACAGTATCAGGACGACACTAAGATCTCAATCACTCTTGCCAAGCACACTAAAAAAGACAATTCTCTTACCTGACATTTGTACACCCGGAGCGTGAGGTAACATTCGTAAATTTTCAAATAACCTCTGACGAATTTTATGCAAATATTCTTGAGTATTTTGATTTGTCATGTTGCTTGGACTAATGTGTAACTAAAAAAAAGGAAAATAATTAATAGTAAGATTATACACTAACAATATAGGACCAATATGCTGATACCTCCCTCTCGCAAGAATTTCTAATGGTAAAATTTTTTTCATTTTATTTGAAATATTTATCACCAAACGAAATTTAGTTATCTGTTGAGTATATCCAGATCAGTGGTTTTTAACCTTTTGGAGGAACGAAACCTCAATGAAACATTCTAGAGGCTCGTGGATCCCTGTGCATTAGTTTAGGTGTCTAAACTGTATAAAAAATAATGTAGCAAGTTTGATAACAGTGGCAAACAACCGTGTACTATACAGACAGAGCCCTTGGATGCTACAGAACCCCGGCTAAAAAGTATTGATCTTAAAATAGTCGACCTACACTGAGCATTGCAAAAATAGATTTTAAATTGTCTATTATAAATCAGTATTCAAACAACTTGAGAATAATAAGTGTACTCACCTTAAAATCTGGTCCAAAGTATTCAAAATAGTCATTGTATGGCAATTCTGAAAAACAAATTTCATTACTTTCTCAGTAAAACTTCAAATGCTACTAGTACTTATTTAGGAATCATTAAATAATATTTACCATTGGGAATTTCTTGTGATAAAGCTACAGCAGTTTCATAAGTCCAACATCTGGCAACATTCCTTATTGTGTATCCACCTCCGCCAAGCATGAGGATGGGCACATTGAACTTTTTCATATATTCGAGGCATTTGGCATGACCTGTTAAAAGAAAATTTTTTAAACGAGTAAATATTGTGTTTACCAAAGAATAAGAACATAATTTACTAAATAGGTTAAAATTTCAAACAAACATATCATTATTTTCAGGGTTTTCATTAGAAGTGAAATTCCTGATATAGGCTTTGAAACGAATAAAACGCATATCAGTTTCACCTCTTTTCCTTGCAACAAATGATGGAAATCTATCTCTTTCGAATCAAAATATTTACAATTTTAATGTTAAGTTATATAAGATAATTTTTTTTTGAACTGGTGGTGAAAAATATTGACAACAGGCAAGACGAACATACACAGGACGTAAATTCAGAACTTCGAATGATGTTTAAAACATGAGGTGTAGAACTTCTACATGGGCAATTTCACCCTTCAACATACAATATATAAGTGAAAAATGCTTTTTGTTCAGTGACACGTAATTGAAACACTTTTGTTACAATTGATTCTATTTTGATTACCTTTTACAGTGAGATTGAAGCATCCCAATCTATCCCCTGTTAATGAATCTGCACCACATTGTAACACAACTGCACTTGGTTGATAATATTCCATTACCTATATATTAAAAGAAAAATTTTTTTTATCATCTAGTTTATTCACTCACACAGAAAAGAATGAGTACAGTTGAAATCTACCGTATGTATATTCTCAAACTTGTGTTGTATTGTATCATTGTATGCATATAACATTCAAAATTCTCAATTGATCCTTTATACACGTTGAAAAGCATAAAAGGCTGTAATTATAATTCAGCTCGAATTCATAAATGCCATAAAGAATTTCAACACATTTGATTGAACAAAATCCGAATTCCTAATTTTTTTTTTCAGTTTATCAAATGCATTGAAGCTTTATCAAGAATGGTATGCTATCATTATTCATAGCCTATATTAAAAAGTAGTTTCTACAATTTAACAGAATAGAAATAGGAATATACAGTTGCATCTGTAAATAGATTTATTTACTACAAGAATTTAAAAAGTAAACAAAAATTAAATCTGTGAACATATGATAAATAATAGTGAACTACCGGTCTAAGTCTAAAACAGACTGGAGGGTCGATGAAACGAGGTCCATCTTGACCACAAAAAAGTCAAGGGGTATTGCAGCTTGCAAGTGACATAAAAAAAAGGGAAAGTAGACCGATAAATTTATTAATTACTCACGAAAATGAAGAAAATTTATCCTTCTGATTGAGTATGACTGTACCCAAAAGTTTTAACAATCGAGCACGCATTGCACAAAAGTAAGTGGTATCTCTAAAGTCTAGAATTTGTTCCAATTGACCTTGTTTTTTTTTATTACACAGAGCCTTTAGAAAGAATTTGAATTCAAGTTTGAGTACCTTTGTGACAACCGGTTGGAATATTTCTTCATAAGCACCATCATCCATTCCATCTCTCAATGGAAAATTGAGTGCATAGTATTTGCCTTTGCCTGCACCAATATCCTGAAATAAGAAAATGTCTCAAGTATGATAAACTATACATACAAATGACTTTTATAGCTCTATATTTCACCAAGTTCTATATCGGTGTTCTTCTAATGAACTTTCTAGGTGAAGTTTGGATCTCATAGGATATGGCCATATGGCCACTCCGAGTCGAACAATTCAATGGACAATGGGTTTTCAAAAGATTTCATTTTAAACTTTCACTAGAACTGATTACAAATCATGCATTACAATGCGCAATACAAAGTATAAGTATAAACCTATACTAACCCTGAGATCGCCTGTGCCTGGAAAGTATTCACCATACTTATGGAATGAAACTGTCATAACTCTATCAGTTGTATAAAAGGCTTCTTCCACACCATCACCATGATGAATATCAATATCAATGTATAAAACACGTTGATGATACCTATACACAATATATTTTTTGTCTCAGTATTTTCTTACACATAAAAAAAATTGGTATTCTGAAACTCTTGATTTCAATTCATTTTAATTTTGAATATTCTAAAATCTAAATAGATCACTTTTATTTTATTTGACTGTGATTTCAACAAAAAAAAATGAAATTTAGATAATTTGGTTACAGTTTGAATTTGATTACCGTACTCTCATTAAAATTATTGTTTCAATAATAATCTCTAAAAATCAACAATTCATATTCACTACACTCACTTTAGAAGTTCTAATATAGCAAGCACAATATCGTTAACATAACAAAAACCAGAAGCTTCTGATTTTTTAGCATGATGAAGTCCACCTCCCCAGTTGATTGCAATATCAGTTTGCTGCTTGTTAATTTTGACAGCTCCAGCTATAAAAATACAAGACAGAATATTAGATGAAAGACTTGGGTATATTGAACTTATCTTATAACTTATCGTATAAATATCTCCTTTTTGAATAAAGTACAAGCACTCGCTGAATGATGAGAAAACACAATGGTGAGAAGCTGGTGATGCCTAGAAATTTTTTTCAGTCTGAGAAGTTTTTACATTCAGGGTGAGATTTGGCCTTAAATTAAATAATGTGTTGATTGAGCTAGATTTATTCAAAACCAGTGATGCCAATATAGTTATTCCAATACAACCACTTTACTTTGTACACATCTTCAAAACGCTTCATCTAATATAGGACTTATTATTCTGCTCTAATATGCTATGATACTTGTATGTATATATATTACATATTAGACTTACCAATTGATCCACCACCAGATAACTGACAAAATTCATAAAGTCCATCGAAAACTGGACAATCTTCTCCGACATTAACTGAAAAAAAAATTTATCACACTTCTTGAAGCAATATCACAGGGTTTCAAATTATGCTTTCTTAGGTATAATTGTCCCAAAAATTCACAAAGCCACACACTACACCAGGGTCGACCAACCTTTTTGGCCGTCGGGCGACATTTAGTTTACTAATAATTGCGTGGGCCACTTAACATGGTAATTATGTTCTAGTTTTGTTACACTGACTAAAAGTTAATAAAAAACAAACAAAACCCTCGCACCAAACTTTCTCACTAATAAGAACAATAAAAAATAAAGATACAGTAAAGTCAACAAAGTTTTTTCTACACATAGATATTTTAGTGTGAAGTTTGGCACTGTTTTCGCTAACAAGTTAGTAAATGTTCGCTGAAATGAACGATGTAGCAATGCGAAGTGAATTTTCCATATGACTTTCAGAAATTAGTGATCTCACAGGGGATTTGACATGGTTCATCTGTGCCCAAGTGTGTAAGCTACTATTTATGTATCGATATCTTCCAGTTGATTTCGAATCAAAATAGCACTCATGGCTCGTTTGAAAGGGCTAGCAGAGCGCATTTTAGGAAAATTAACAAATTGTTTGTATCAAATCTTCATATTAACTACATCATTCTGAAAATAGAAGTTTTACTCAATTTTTCTTTATATTTAATTTCGAAAATACAGCGCGGGCCACTCGAAACTCCTTGGCGGGCCACATGTGGACTGTGGGCCACAGGTAGGACGACCCTGCACTACACACTCAAAGATACAATATGATTAAAATTTAGTGTAGATGTATTAAATAGTCTTTAGAAAATCCTTACATCTCTGCATTTGTTTTGTATATTCAGACATGTTGTCAGGTCTTATGCTGCGCAGAAATTTTATGTAATCATCACTGTGGTATTTTGTCATCTCATCGCTGTTGCATTTATGTGGTCGCTGTGAAATAAATTAAAGAATAAACAACGCACTAACTATGAATTTTATTAATTCACCATAATTTTGACCTGCAATTAGAGAAGCTTATGGCCACTGTATTATTGGGTTAGACAAATGGAAGGGGATCCAAACATGGGTTACTGGTTGCAACACCCAAAATGCATTACACAAATAATGATTCCATTCATTGAAAAGTTTGAAATCCAATATTTTAATAATATAGGTACCTCAATATGAATTTGTTTCATTTTTTATATACAAGAGGAAAAATATTTAAACAAATATATCAAACCAAAAATATGATTCGTGAGGTTTTCGAAGTGACATTTTGTTTTAGCAATATTTTCAAATTCTATTTGGAGGCATATTTCTATAAATGTAAGTGTACAAAATTTTTAGCTTACAAAAATTTCCATTTTTCGATACAGTCCATAGTTTAAAAGTAGATTGTGGGTCATGCGTATTCGGTGTGGTTTCATTGGATGACCCTGGCCATAGTAGTAGTTTCCAACATCAGCTGTTCGAACAAAATTGATAAATGAAAATTAAATGGAATATTAGAAAACCATAACCAACCAGCGGTTACGTAAACCACCCTATGACAGCGAAGAGTCCAGCAATACTCTTGCACATAATTATAACCAACAGGATTCGAACCTGTGAACCCATGCAGGATAATCAGAGATGCGATGGCAAGCGTATTCCTAACACTTGGCATGATGTGTCATACTGCCGAGACAAGATTGTAGTTGCATTTCATATCGTATCAAAGAGAATAAAAGATCTGACAACGCAGTTTAATCATATTGAAAGCCACATCTTTTTGTCTGGACTCATTCTTCATGAGAATAGTTATTCCAGAAATAAACATTGGTTTCTGATCATTATGAATTAATATTTGGTAATGTTGTATATTTCCACTAAATACGACAAACGTATATCACACAGTCATCACAGTTTTAAAGTAAAAATGAAATAATGAACCAACATGGTAATTAATGCACGGGGCTCTACTGGCACACGTACCTCCGACAAAGCCAAGCGAAGTTATAAAAAGTGAATAGTTCAGCTATTACCTGGATAATTTTGGAAATATACTTACAATCATAATAATAGCAAACTTTTCTGTTTGTTGGATTCGTCAGCGCCATTCCTTCAACCGAAATACTTTAAAAACGAACAAATAATTCACGCAGAGACAGACGCGCAGACCACACCACAGCGACAATCGGAGGAAACTAAACGATTTGTAGCGTTGCCAGATCGTAATATCAGCAGTGCTTTTGAGAGAGAGAGAGAACTTATTTATTTCGTCAAACCAGAAAACGATTAAATATATATGATAGCAAATTGAGAAAATTTAGTTTTTGATAGATGACTGGGTGGTAACGATACAACCATTTACGGTCATCTGAGGTAGTTATCACCCAAAACAAGCAAATTAACAAATAAATTAATAACACAGGTTCTGTTATACCTACGGTTATACCACACTCTCAAAAAATATAACAAAAAAAACGATATACACTATGTGCAAAAAAACAATATTTGATTATAGGAGAAATAAATTTGTCTATTCGGGATAAGGGAATTATTTGAATAAATTTTTTAAAGCAAATATTCCAAGAATTAAGAATTCTATACCAAATATATTATTATACTAGTTAATTAGTATATATATAAATCCACACATTCAATCTGTCCTGAATCTTTTCATGTGCATACACAAGTTAAAATATAAAAGATGAGTCACAATATCACAAAGAAAAGTTCCACAAGCAACAATAATATGTTGTGTGAAGTAAATCGCAGTTTGACCGTAAATATGGTTTGACATATGAATTATGGGCATAACAGTAATACGATTTTTTATTTTTAATTCATTAGCTTGAAGAAAATATGGAACAACGGCATAGTTTGGAAATTTAGTTATCAATGTTAAGTAGAACAAAAGCTAAAAACCTAATGAAAAAAAGTATTCTACTTATGTGATAGAGATCGAATATCGTATTTATATCGCTGGTTCGGGTACCGCAGTGAGAATATATACACATTTGATACGGATAATCATATATGACCAGTTGACGACCTATCGTTCGTTCATAGGCCTACATCATTTTACGACATACAAGTTGAAAATCTTTGATAGATTAGGATCAGGTCTGTTATAGCAATGACATTAAACAACATGATGCGCAACTCCGGCATTTTTGTCCGAAGATCGTATTCGATAGCACGCTCCAATGCACATACTTGACGAGACGAAAACGAGCGGATGTGTGCTGCTTTCAAGGCGTAGCACGAATGGTGTTCGTGCCTGCTTTGACAGTTGTTGTCGATTTTAATGATATTTTTGAAAGTTGGGGTAAAAAGAAATCGGTAAAAGGTAAGGTGAATACTATTGTTGTATATCACACCCGGGCATCGCACTGTTAAGTACATGTGGGAAAGCCAGCCTTTGTCAAATACTACGAAGTTATTAAATCAGTACGGTACGTAGTTGCCCATTTGCCGAAATTACATATTTACTTACCCCTTATGGTTTCAAATAGTTCATGCACCTCCAGTTAGATTTTTTTAATCAGTGAGGATATATACTCATTGTTGATTGCTGCTCATTGTAACATACTATTACGCATTCACTTTTATTTGCGTATTGAATCAAAGTGTTAACAAGTTCACCTAACATTTCACTCATACCGGTCTATATTGTATAGTCTGATTTCTCAAGTATTTGGAGCCACGAATGCTTGTAATTTTCTGACTAAACCCTTTTATTAGTTGGTTTATATACCAAATTCAGTAAAATATTTTTTAAATAAAACATGAGATATTGGATTTATTAGCTTTTCCATTCTGAATCATATAGACTGCTTTATTTATTCTTAACGAAAATTAATAAATCTCCTCTCTTTCTTCAGATGTGAAAGTTGTGGACAAACCTGTCTAAGCATTGTGAGACTCTTGCAGCACAAGAGGCAATAGCAGAAATAGTAAGTATATCAATCAAGAAATTAAGCCGACATAAGGCAAAACTTTCAACTATTCGTCTAATCTCAATTTCCTATTATTTATTCACAGGACAACTATAGCAGACGGGGAGATATCAGAAGTCTGGCGACATATCAGTGACAGTGTGATTCCAAGAAATATAATGCATTTGAAAATAGAAAATTGCAATAGAAAAACAACCTATGGAGGCATGCAAAGACATTTGACCCTCCGGTAGAGTTGTGTATGGCCCCCACATCCTGCAGGGCTTGAGGAAAATAACTAAAAATTCCAAAGCGTAAGATTGCATAAGCGGTCTTATTTGTAAAAAGGCACAAAACACGCCAGACATACTTAAAACAGCTTTGGAAATGAGGATTACGGGTACCTCACTGCACCTGTGTTATATTTGGTTCATCAACTTTTGGTAGTACTATAGAAGAAATTCCGGAAGGGGTATAATCATCATTCATGATAAAATACTATCATATATTTTTTGAACAACTTCAATCTAGACCAGGGATCTCAAACTCGCGGCCCCAGAGAAGTGCGGCCCTCGAACGCTTAACAATAATTGTAATAGTATTTTGGAAGTTTTTTTTTTTTATCTAAATGTAATAGATTTTTCAAACCTTCTAAAGTGAAATTGATTATTCACACAGAAAACAATTTACTGAAAGTAGTTTTGGAATATTGATTTTTTTTGTCCACATTTTGACCCTATTAAGAATACACATCAAGCTAGCAAAAGAATACTTGAATAAAACACTTGAGTAATTAAATTAAACGCAAAGTACATGAAGAAGGTGGCATTTTCGAAGAAAATGGGAGTTGTAACATTTCTGCTCTTCACAAAATTCTGAAGCACATTGTTTAATTTGTCATATTTCCATCAATACAATCAAAAAACACAACAAGCTCAGCAGTCAATATGACAAATTCGAAGACCAACTTCGAACAGAAAATTTCCATGTGTTTGTATATTAATATAATTATACAACGACTTAGTTACTAAAAATCAATATCAATAATAATTCAAGCAATCCTATGCCACGCAATGTAGTGCGAAATGTCTTGTCGAAAAAATCTGTCATTTGTTTTTTTACTGATCTATACATGAAATGATAAAAGTAACTTTTTTGCATTACTGGAATTAATTAGACATTCGTAAAGATCCAGATAAACCCATGATCATGTGGCCTCGTTAGTTAGAGTTGGTACTATAAAATCATTTCAGACTGGCCTTAGTATGCTGGTGACACAAAAAAGATGCCAAACGCCAGAACAAATGTAATTATTAAAACATTGAGTTTATACTGTAGTATTTTTGTTAATTTTAGGTTCATATATTTAGATTAAGTTATTTTTAGTGTATGTATTATTCTTTCCTTATTCAAAGCTTGTTCAAAAATGATTTTGATGGTTGTACATAGAATTTTACGATTTTTTATAATAAATACTGTAACTTGCAAATGTTGCAATAATAGTGGAATGCAAATATTAATATGTAATTGCATTTGAAATTGAAGAAAATAATAAAACTTAATCCAACTGTTTAGTTGCATCACAATATCTGTCACAAACTAAAACTATCTTAAAAATATCTTTCAAGTATACATTATCAAAAACTGTTTGCGGCTCTTTTTACAATTTTCAAAATGCAATGCGGCTCTCGAAAACCCATGAGTTTGACACCACTGATCTATTCTAGACGATTCAAGCATTGCTTTGGGAAATTATATCACTTCAATTAAATTGAAATAATCTCGCTATATTAAATACAAAATCGTTGCTATCATAAAGGTAAACCAATTCAGCCACTCGAAATATACTGGCCTTCACAAAGCAATGGAGGCAAAATTGAGAGTTCATGAACTATGAACATTTGTTCTTTTCTTTGTCTTGAACTTTCCATACTCCACAGCCCCTATTAGTTTTTTTTAATTTTAATTACCATGTGATGGTCATACATATCTTTAACTTGTATTTTCTGTCATGATGTATTATCTCAATGTGCCAAACTATTAATTAGTGTGCATATTTTGCTTCCAGATGACATAAATGTATTGTCATGTTTATTACCTCAGCTTGGAGTATTGACAAGAAAAAGGTGCCAGTAAATTAGGTAAAAAAATTTTCAACTCATTGTTATAATCAGAATTCACAATCAATAGGAATTATAAACAGCCAACAATCAGTGAGAATTATATGCGAAATCCCTCAGAATAAATTTGTCTAAAATCGGAGGAAGGCAAAAAATATAGGTAGTTTCCATCCACACAAGCATTTCAAGAAGACTTGCTCGAGCCAAACTAAATGAGCATCGTCAGGTGATCGGTAAGGCTGCAAGTTAAATTCAGCCCTGCAACCTCCTGCATAGAAGATTATATTAATTAGTGGGCTATGAGCTAAATTCCTAAATTTAAACAAACCTATCTACGATGCATTATGTACCAGCAATGTTACCTACGATTAACTGAATATGTAATATGTCTAATAAATTCACCTACAAAAGCAAGTTCGATAGGTGCAAACGTTGTGTTATGGAATAGTATCGCAGCACAGTTTTGTATGACACCCTCTTTAAATGAAATTTCAATGATTAAGCGCAAACATTAAAATTACTAACTTTGAACTTTGTCATTATCTGCAAAATGTTCCACACAAATCTTTCCGCTATCGCGTTTGTAATCTTCTCTGATAAAAAAAAACGTCTATGATGTCCAGAATTGCTCTTTACAGCTTGCCTGTTATTCCAGCTTTCCAAGTAAGCAAAACTTCTTAGATATAGAGATTATTTTGTTTCGTTACAGGCGCAAAAAGGCAGGTACTACACGTAAAAAAGACGCCGAGTAGCAAGAGCGAGCGCAAAACGGACGCGAAAGGCGACGAGAAATATGTGCATTGGAGCGTATCATGAAATACAATGTTTTGCCTGTAGTCTTATGGAGTGACGTCAGAGTTGCCTATCATGTTGTTTAATGTCATTGGTTATAGTAAGGACATTGAACGCAAAATTTCAATCTGTTCATACAATTATTATCAGAAAATGAAAAGAGGCGCCAAAAGTTTTAAATACGGCAATAGCGGAAATGTTTCAAAACCGCAAAATGTTGGATAATCGATAAATATAGCATATAAACGAAGTGAAGTGAAAAAAAAATATTGTACACACAAATTAAAATTTATATAATTTTATCAAACCATTCCTCTTTTTAATGAAGCATGAAGCTAAGATTAAACCAATTTAAGGAAATGGCAACAAATTCTGAAAGTTATAGGCCTACTGCCAATGTATTATTAAATAGTGCATAGAATATTCTAAAATGAAACTTCACATTTTGAATCTTCCTTATATTATAGTTAAGTCACGTGTTTCTTCAATTTTGATTATATCCAATTTGTCTTTGTGAGATCAATGTTTTTAAAGAAGTGCCTTGAAATTATGTTCAAAGTTCTTCTATTTCTGGTTGTAATTTAATGGAGCGGCTAGAGTTGTCCACTTTTTTAGTGGGAATTTTACTGCATAGATCGTAATTATTGAGGTAAAGGTGAAAGTGCGACCATGAGAAACATCGCCAACATGTAATTCAAATTAATTTTAAATCACATAGCTTTTTGTTGATTGTACACATATTTTACCAATTTGCAATGAAGAAAACAATTAGCCTACATGAAAGGTCCCAGGATGAAAAAATTGTTTTTTGGAGGGGGAACCAATTTTTTTATAATGACATAATGCGACGCTAACTCGTGCCTTTTGCTCCAACCAAGGCGAGATAAAGACTGCTAGAAGACAATATCTTAAATAATCTCTCTACGGGCTTACTTCGCTGTTCAAGTTATATATATATAAGCAAGCATTTTCACCTATCTGGTTGGGGTATTCGGAGCAAGGATCATTATGTCTCATCACAAATACCTCGAAATTGCATTAAACAGCTGAATATTTTAGAGGTGGGGCATGGCCTGGCTATGGCCACAAAGGGTCCTTCATTCATTCGATATATTTTACAACCATTTTGTGTTTTATTCAAGGATTCAGATGCCGGAATAAGCAACTGACGTTAGGTTAACATTAAAAAACTAATATGATAGGATTTACATATTTATCCCAGGGGAGAGGAAGGCCGCTAGTCCGATTACCAGTTCATGTCGGATATGGGATTAGTTAGTTATTTGTTTTCGGACGCATGGGCTTGGTGGTAGAGGAAACCGTAACTGACAGCCTTACGTGAACCCCCCTACGTTGACGAGTAGTCCAGCAATCCTCTCGCACATAACTATCCCCGCATGGGATTCGAAAATGCGAACCCACGCAGAGTAATCAGATGTGCGGATGAGGGGGGGGGGGGGGGGTCCAGTACGCCAGATAATTTCTTTGATAAGATTGTCTCTGTGTGCCCATTCGTAAGATAACGAGCATTAGTGTTTAAAATCCTACTAAAGACATCACTCGTTTCCCCCAATATTGGTGCTAATTGTATGCAAGTGTGCGTTCTATTTCAAGTAGTCAAAGTAATCTTAGCGTCATAAAATAATAAGTTGACAGTTCGAGATTGACACTGGCGGTTGGTACCTGTTCTTACATCATGCAATTTATAGAAATACGTTTGCCATCGCACCTCTTATTACTTTGCGTGGGCTCGAATCCCGTGGGGTTGTATCGTGCCAGAGGACTGAATTTCCTACAGCCGTTGAGCGAGTGCTTCACTATACTAACGGTTGGTTACGTCTTCCTCCACTAAGTCCATGCATCTGCAACAAAGAATGGGAAATGTGGAACGCCAATGCCATATGATACAAACGTCTGCAATAGCCTGATATTGCCACTATACCGCCATTGCCTGAGATTAATATGGAATTCCCTAATGATATTGAGCAGGGTAACAAATGAAAATGCACTTCGAATTTGAACTATAATCATTTGTCATAATATGGCATTGGGCTTTTGAAACTTTTTTGATATTTCCCCAAAAGACATTTTCATCATTCTTCACATAATATTACGGTAGATACAAACAAAATACTTTGTTAAGTGTTCATTTTTAGATACAAAATGATTAGATTTCTTGGTGAAAAATATAATAATTAAGAATAGGACATAATATTTAGGTTTCAGAGAGTTCACTTTCGCTGACAACTTCTCCACCGACAGATACAAAACTGCCAGCTTCGCTATCCTCGCCTTCTGAACTCAGAGTCAATGATTGTTTTTTGGTTGAACTTTTGTTTTTACTTCTGAAATCAGAGGGAACATCCATTGCATTGTCTGGGGCACTATCTCTGATAACTTCATCTTGATGAACTGTTGTTGAGTATTTTTGGAATCTTTCCTTCATTTGATCATCATCACTGCCCTCACTTTCAGATCTTGCAAATGGATTTGCTTCGTCTTCATCTTCACTATTGCCTTCCTCATCCTCACTTGCAGACATTTCTCCATCCGACATCAGCAAATCTTCCAAAAGCAGACTCTTGCCTTCTTGGGCCTCGATGCCATCAGCTGTGTTAGAGTCGTTTTGAGTTCCGAGAGCTTGAGCTGCAGCGACTGAAACAAAATCATTCGATGAAGTGGGAACATCACTTTCCACATCTATTTTTTCATCTTCCATGTCGGTGAACATGGTATTACTCTTACTGTCATCTTGCTGCATTGCAGTGAAGGAGGAGTTACTATCTTCATCCACACCAATGTCCATGCTGTTTTCATCCATGACAACGTCGTCATCAGCTCCAGCCTCTGCTTCCTCTTCTGCCGCTTTCTTTGCAGCAGCAATATCATTTTCTAGCTGTGTTAAATGCTCATCATATTCCTCGAGTGTATTTCTGCAAACATCAACGATTTGTCGAGCAGTTTCAGTAAATTTTGATTCAGCGCCATTGAATTTTGAGCTGTTAATTAAAATAAGCTCAACATGTTCCATAAACTGTCCTCTATTTTGATACATATGTTTCTGAACATTCTTTTTCAGTGTGCCGAGATCCATTGGATGATCAACAACTTTGTAATAATCCGGCACAATTTTCTTATTGACAGGATTATGAAAAGGCCATGAATCTGAAATGGTCATCATTTTATTACTGATTATATTATCAAGAACAAAACTGAAAGAAACTTGGTCATCGTCATCAAGCAGAGGATTTATTGCTTTCTCCAGGCGCATCAATTTATCTTCCAAATCTTTGAATCTTGAGTCACAATAATCAGTCATATGAATAGCAGTCTTTGTTAATGGACTGTCTACACCATTATAAATTTTAGAATTGTTGACAATCAGATCTAAATGTTCTTTAAAATCTGCTCTAGATAAATATGAATGTTTATGAAGGTGATCTCTCATTGTTTGTAAATCCATTGGTTTTTCAATGATTTTGTAATAATCTTTGACCGCTCTTGGATTCACAGGGCAATGAAAAGGATGAGTTGATGGAAGTTCACGCAAACCATTAAGTACATTCTCAAGAAGTGATGACAAAGTTACAACAGGGTCTGCTCTTTTTCTTTCTTTCTTTTTTGCAGGCCGAGTCAAGTAGTCGCAGTGGCTTACAGAGCCCTGATACTTTCTTTTACGTCTTTGCACTGGCTGTGGTGTTTCAGGTTTCTGGAATTTGAGAACAAGTGACTTTCTTCTTACAGCTTCTACGTTTTTCAGTAGATCCTTCGAAAGTGTAATTTTTGTACCTTCTACCTTAATTAGGTTTTGGGAATCAGCAAACATAGCTCGTTCCATGTCTTCTTCTTGCTCTTCTGTTAGTGCAACAGGACGATCTGGAAGAGCATTAGATCGGTTATACATCGGACAAAACCTGTTCGTTCGCATATGTCCCAACTGCCCACATGCGCCACATTTCATTTGAGAGGTTTTCATAGTATCTTGCTTATTATTTGGCTTCAGGCCCTTTTCTTTCCTCTTCTCTTGATTTAGCTTATCCTTTTCTTGATTCCTCTTGATGCGACGTAATTGCTCTTGAATTCTTCTTTTCTCTCTTCTCATTTCTTCACGATGCTGTTCATCTAGCATTATGAATTTTCTAATGAAATCCTCATCTTTTGAATTTCGAATTCTCAAGTATGCATCTATCACATCTGGCTTCCTGACTGTTTCAACACGAACAAATTCACTTCCACCTTCACTTTTAAATTTCCTATATATTTTCAAGCATCGGCCAGGACCAACCGAACCTATCGATGAAGTTTCGCCATCTTTCTTTGCTGCCTGAGTAGGAGTGGACGATCTGCCTTGTGAACCGCTGTCGACATTTCGACCTTCACTTATCATTTTCATGAGTTCTTTTCTTTCTTGTTCCTCTCGTTCGAGTGAAACTTGAGTTGATGACTTTTTATTGCTTAAAATACTTTCTATGTTTTTCCCCATTTCTTCAAAGTCTGAGTCATCCCCCGAACTACTATCCTCATCTGTTGATAAAATATCATGAGAAGAAAGCACACGATTTTGCAGATCAAAAACACGCTGGCATTCCTCTTTGTACCGCTCTTGATGCTCTGCAACAGAAAAGCGTGTTCCTCTAGCAAATTTACTGGTAGCCCCAGCCCTTGCTTGTTCTGTTGACATGGTACGAACTACGTCAATGACTTCCCACCGAGAAAGTTTACGTATTTCCTCATCTGGAACACCATATTTTCTTAAAATATTTTTGGCATTTGTTAATGAAAGTCTACGAAGATCAGCATCTGTGCCTGTAACCAACTTCTTCGGTGGTGCCGGAGCACTTTCATCTTTAGGTTGCTGTGGTTTCATTGGCACCTTGACATAAGAAAATCCTTCACCACAACCAGTAGGATCAGCAGGGCCAGTAACTTGCAGCAAGCATTTACCTTTGACTGCAGAAAGATAAGCACGTGTTGTGTTCCAGGGTGCATTTAACACCTCCTCATCAACTTTCATTTGATGATCTTCACCAGTTTCATCCTCAGCCTGTACAATCATGGTTTTATCACCATATCCAGCATCCTTCAGACGCTGTTCCGCTGCTATCATACTCATATGACTGCAGTATTGTTCAGTAGAAACCATTGCCCTCATTTCTTCCTCTGTAGGAAGGCGAAAATCTCGTCTTATGACCCACCAATTGCTGTCTGGGCCAGTTCTGTTGAAATCAGCACAGAGTTTTAACCTTTTTCTGATGCTACTTTCAGAATGTGTTGGAAAGGCTTTTCTAATTTCTTCCATTTTAATCCGCTTTGGATTATCAGTACTCTTGGAGAACAATCTATAGATAAACACCTGCAGAAAATCACGAACATGAACCGTTGCTTTCTTCGAATTTGGACCAGAAACTTCCATTAGAGGACATTGCTGCCCGACAGTAAAGATGCAAGGAAGATGTCGAACAAAATAACCATGTCTTGTTCTGATAACCAAAAAATCAGTAGGTGACATTTTATGTTCATATATTGGTGCTCTAAACATGTTATTTTCGAAGGCTTGCAATGAATGACCAGGTGATAAGGAACCTAGAAAAGGAGATGTATGAGAGAACACAGTGTCTCCAAAACGAAATCGAGGGCAGTGAGAATCTTTATCTGGTTTCCTTTTGTAATAATTCTTTACCTTAGTTGCCATGCCAGGCTGAGAAAGTAAAAGTGGATATTCTTCACTGTACTCAGAAAGAATCAATATACCATCCATGGCTGACAAGTCCGAAGATTTTCGCATGAAAAACACGTCTCCACCTCCAGATGCAGCTCTCTCCTGCTCGCGTTGTTTCGCTTTTTGCCTGATATGTTTTCGAAGGCACTGGACAGCATAAAATCCAATCTTCGCCATGGGACCTTTTTGATATCGTCTTAATGGCGGCCTGTGAAAATGGTGCAACTTAACGGCACTCATGTGTGTAGGAAAGAAAGGTTGCTGTAATTCAAGAGCTGGAATTGAATGCTGTAGCGCACCAACAAGATTTACAGCTAATTTGTTCCCACTAGATTTTCTGGGATCATAAAACTCATCATTGGACAAGTTCCAATGATCAAGTTTGGATTCAGTCTTTTCTTGAGTTTCCTCATCTTCATCTTTTGCAGCTGATTTCCCAAGAATTATTTTTGCCTTTTTTTCTTTTTTACTTTCTTTTTCGTCTATTGTACTGTAAGATTTGGGTTCCTCTGGTAATCCTAATATTATGTTTTCGTCATTAGGATTAAGCTGAAAAACTTTGGGTTTTGGTATAAAATCCATGTTTTGATCATCCCAGATGATATCTTTTTCCCAATCACCATAAATCAATTCATAATTGTCTATCGGAAATATGGAATTGAAAATTTTCTTTTTTGGTGGTGAGGATTCCTCATTTTTAAGTTTCTCTGTTGTTGGAAAAGCAAGTGGACTCCTAGCAGCAGTAGAATCATTAGGTAAGGCAGTACGCTGAGTGCTAGTTGGTACCCAACCAGCCTGAGCAGCTTTATTCACTCTTACTTTATGCCTGTCGTCAAACTCGGTTGAAACCGGCAAGTTTTTATTCCCCATTTTATTTATTATATCATCAGCATTCCATATAATATCATCTTCCCATTTAACTTGTGATACCATATAAAAATGCTCAGCACTCGGCCCTGGTATCTGTGCCAAAGAACGAGATTCAGTTTCTGCATTATTCTGCGGTTTGAGTTTGAATCCATAATCAAACCCTTCTCCAGTTTCGGATATACCTAGCATATCATACCACAAAGCAGCTGGACCATAACGCCATGCAGGAATTTCCGCTGCAGTAGCAGAAGATTTTTTCTTGGTTTCAACCCGAGAAGTTATTTTTTGTGGTTTCATCATCTTCACTTCATCATCTGTTAGACATTCACTGGGCTCTGGCATTAAGACATCACTGGTTTTCGAAATTGTTTCATCTTTGTGAATATTTTGTGTTGTAATTTCATCCTGATTTCCATCAATTCGTTTTTTTTTTCTTCTCTTTCTACAATTTCTCCATCGATTTGGCATTGAAGATGTTTTGCCTGGACCAAAGAGCCTTAAAAACCGCAGTACTTCCCCAGATCGAAATTCCGGAAATAGATCTTTAATATTAGCGCTCTGGACTTTAGTATTGATTTCCTTCATTTGATTTTCAAAAGCAATTTCTTCTTCGCTCATTTGTTGTTGAGCTGAATGCCTGTCTTTCTTTTTTTTCTTTTTCTCAAATTTGTGTTTTTTTACCTTCTTGCCACTGCTCTTCTCATGCCTTGCTGATTCCAAAAAATGTTTTTGACCATCGTCCAGACCCGATGGATGTGACACAATAGATGGCAAGATGATATCTGATCCAAAAGCAGTTTTGGTTTCTCCAGATTTTCTCGAATTAGCACCCTTTACAGGATGAAAAGTAGAATGGAATTTAGATCCAACTGAGCCACTATCAAATAACATAGATTCCTCTCCAGATTGAATTGAACTTATATTAGCTGATACAGTTTCATCATCATCATCATCTGCCAGTTCATTAATGGTGCTGTAATCTACAGCATCTGGCAATGTTCCAATTTTTAATGGATATTTTAAATCACCTTCTTGTGAAATGCGATCTTTATCCTCAAACTCTTTGACAAAATTTCCGATACCAGTCAAAGCATTTAATTGACTTAGATGACTTTTCAACTCCTCTTCAAATATATCATTCTCCAAATGTCCATGTTCATCAATATTCCCGAATAAGAATCCGGTGAAATCAGTTGTTCCTCCACCATCATTTTCAGAATCTGAGCTGGACATCTTGTAATATTTCACAAAGAATTACCACATAACTGAATTTAAATACTGAGACTGAGAGTTCTGCAGAAAAAGTATATATTAAATAACCAAATTCTACACTTTACTGTGATAATAATCTTTTTTGATTGTTAAGTTACCAGATTCAATAAGTTTCAATAACCAGTATTTGAAATCAAAACAATTACCTCGTAGGAAAATTTTAGAAAATGTCATGATTGTCTCGACAATAATTTAAATCTATCGCGCCATGTGTCAGCCGTGACATGACCAAAATTCTCTCCTGCTGACCGCTTCTTGTTAAATACTGTTGAATGCTTTTTGTATATTCGATTATTTTTTTCTGAGGAATCCAATGGTGACATTTTTAGATGTGCTTCACTCTAGCTTATCGTACAGTGCCGGTTTTCCGACTTGTGCCGATATGGAGGCCCCCGCTGTCTGGTAAAGAATGGGTTTCATTCCCTGTAATTTTTATGTCTTTTGATATGAAGTTATTCTTAGAATCAAGGAACTGTGCCGTACTGTATCTGGAGATATTTATATAACAATTACAGAATAATGAAAAAAGTGCTCAATTTGAAATATAACTTGAAATTTGTAAAAAAAATTTAAATAGCCAAATATATCAAATATGTATATATAGCGGTACATTGCGCGGCAATGTGGCGCATTGAGCCAAGCGTTAGGAATACGCTCGTTCACCGCATCTTCGATTACCCTGTGTGGTTTTGCATGTTTGAATCCCATGCAAGGTTAATTATGTGCGAGAGAATTGTTGGACTCCTGGCTGCTGTAGAGTGATTAACATAACCGCTGGTCGGTTACGGCTTCCTCCACCATTAAGTCCATGTACCTCAAAACAAATAAAGAAATAACTGGCTAACGAATCCCATATCCGGCAAGGACTGGTAACCGGATTAGTGGTTCGCTATATGATATGATCAAGCCGTCTTTCGGCCTTTCTCTACCCTAGGATAAATGTGTAAATCCTATCCTACCCTATTTACATTACTCAAGTTAGAATCCTATCAATTATGAACTGTATTCCAATATATTTCCATTCCAATGGAATCCATCACAATCCATTACCAGTATATTGGTATAACATATATTCTGTAAATAAAATAAATTTGGAAAAATATTTCAAAAACCTTTAGATTTGTTCTAAACATCAAAATACATAAGTTCCCATGAAGTAGAATGATTTTGTGCAGAATTAAATAAAAATTATCCAATTTTTTTTGAGTGCTTCTCTATTTTATTCACGCTTCTGTATTCATTCCATAGATAGATAGGAGTATTCATCATCCAGAGAAAATAATCGACTAACAACAGAATTGATAAGAGGTCGGAAGGACCATACGATCACTAAACCGAAACAACTCTCCTGGCATGAATAAGGTTGACAGTTTACATTTTATATTATACCAATTATAAATCATGTTAATTAGTTGTAACTAATAATAAAGTGACAAGAGTAATGTGACACATATTAAACAACATTTAAAACAGTAGCGGAATGAAAAGGGTATAATTTTATATCACACGTCGTCCGCGAGTCAGGAACTGATGGATGACAGTTAGTATAGTTTGGAGGGTTACTGTGTGACGTGACGTCGTAGTAACGTAATTCTTGAATGACAAGTCAGGTGGGGGTTAAGAATAACATACATGTTAATTAGTTGTAACTAATATTAAAGTAACAAGAGTAATGTGACAAATATATGGGCCATTCCAAGCAAAAGTTGAATTCCATCAATTTTTTTAAAAGTGTAGTGAAAATAATTTTTTTGTATTTTTTATATCAAATGACATTGGAATTTTATTGGACTACACTCCTTTCACCGAAAAAGTTAAAATTTCACCCAGGTTTTCGATGTTTTCTAAAAAATGGCCTAAAATGTAGTAATTTTGGTATAATTGACATATTTTGTGATGATTCGTGACACAAAGTGTTTGATTGTGTGATACAGTTATTTCATACGAAATGGACTCACTGAATTTAAGTTAATGAAGTTCAAATGTTTGCAGTGCTGTAGGACATTTCTTCACCCATTTAACGATTTATTACCAGAATTTTGAGAGATGGAGGCCGCTGTTCCGAAGTGGAAAAATTTCCTGTGGTGTCACGTCCTGTAGTGTCACATACAATATGCACATTATTGGCATGGATTTACAGTGTTACATTAGGTGAATTGAGCAACACATAGAGAGGTCCTTCAGCTACTGCACCAGAAAATATTATGGGCTCCTGCTGTACCGGTACCATCGCAAAAATTTACAGCACAACATAATGCACTGTTAATGCAAGGTGGATTTACTGTCCTGTAGTGTCACGCTATATTTTTTATATCCACTATGTATGTCTTGGGTGTAACTTTGGTGCAATTTTTTCCTTATCCAATAAAGCAACTGATACGGGCTACGGTATTCAAAGTGACTATACAGGACAATTTCAGAAATTTTGCATGTTGTTAGGTGCAATATATTTTTACATTTTCAGCTACATGTTTTGTTTCATTGCCGCGAATATAAATGTGTTTTTCTCAAGATTGGAGCCCTAGAACGTGAAAAGATCAAAATTACACCCCTGTCCTAAAACATCGCCATAGAAAATGGGAAAAGACGGACAACTCACCAGACCTCTGTCAGCCTGTTCCAGGGGTTCCCAAGCTTTTCTCAGGACAACCCCAAAGACCATTTTCAAGTGGCCAGTGCGGGTGGAGGCTAACTCGCCATGAGGGCTAACTCCGCACAGTTGCAGGCTAACCCGCTAACCGCCGTCGCATGGCGAGTGGTCCATGGCGAGTTAGCCCCCATGGCGAGTTAGCCGTCAGCCTCCAGTGCGACCCCAGGTCAATATATATTTTTTCACGAAACTTTAAAGTTTCTTTCACTGGACTTTTGAGTTTGGTCATGTCAGCATGTGGTGGTATTAAGTAAAATAAGCTAAAACAATTAAACTTTCTATTTAAATTCAAAATGAAAAATAACGAAATTACAAAACAAAAAAAAACTGTTTGGAAATTTTTTCTATTGGGAATGGTCACTGTTTAATTTTAATCATTTTCCGGGTCCCATGTAGTTTCGTACCTAACATACTTCTAGTGGGTGTAGCATGACAATTTTTTCACGTATCAATTCTAACCCCCACCTGACTACACCATCCAAAAATTACATCATTACGACGTCACAGTGACGTAATAGAGCCCTTCAAACTTTATGAATCGCCAAGACGCGCAAACGAGCACCCGAAATCGAACAGTTATTCCTCTCGTTTTCTCGTCGCAACGATTCCTATAGGAGAGAGATCGATAACGTCAGTCAGTTCTTTATCGTCGGCGCCAATGCCATATCGGGCGATCGTACATATATTTGGCAAGCTCTATGACGTGTTGTGATGTCGTAGGCACGTAATTTTTGGATGGCGTAGTCAGATGGGGGTTAGGATTGACATATCAAAAAATTGTTATGCTACGCCCACTAGAAGTGCGTTAGGTACGAAACTACACAAGACCCCAATTTCCTGTGTATGGGGATGTATGATGTCAGGCAACATACCAAAGAATTTTACAAGTTGATGTTTGTTATGCGGCTCCGATAATCACTTTCAATGATCACCTTTAACCAACCCCGTGTAACTCCGGAAATTTGGTCTCGGTGTTGAATTCGCCGACACGCTTGACTTGGTGCTGACAGATTTTTATTGCTTCAAAAATCATTGTGCGACTTTCTGCGTTTTTCTGTGTTCTGACGGCGCTGTCTCGCGTCAATATTAAGTCAGTGACTTATAAATATTCAAGTTAGTTGTGCACATGGAATATTACATGATATACTTGACTATAGAACTGATAGAATGCAGATTACAAAAAAAATAGAAGAACAATCAATTGAGTGGGAAGGCCCTAGGACCGGTCAGCACTAGAGATGTACCGATACCACTTTTGTCGCCGATACCGATACCGATCCGATACCAGCCTTAAAAAAGGCCGATACCGATACCAGATTCAACGCCGATACTACAAAAAAGGCCGATAATTACCGATATTCCGATACCGATACTATGTAGAATATTACTTAATTAGGTGTGCTGTGTAGGGCGAGACGGGGTGTACAACAATGGGTCTTTTGAGCGTTGTTTAATAGTACACATTATTTCAGATCGAAAAATGGATATATTCAACAATAATAATGAATTTAATGTTTTGGTGTTTGCTTCAACTGATTAAGATACACTTGTACAGGTAACGCTAGAAATCTCGGTGTCAATTAGAAAACTCATAGCCGGGATGTCCAATTTTGAATTTAATGTTAATATCGCGACCTTCGAATATCGTTTATTCGTGTTTAAGAGAATATCGAATATCACCCCACACATTCTAGAGCCGCCGTCCTTACGTTCAAATTAAAGCATTTTTCAAATATTTCATTTCGTGGCTAATCGTAATCGTCGACGCAATAAGTCAAAGTCAACATGAAAGAATATCATCAGCACCGACCAAAAGAAGGCCTACCTATAACCGTCAAGGATGTTTTTTTACTTTACTATTTTATATTATTATACAATTGCTATCATATATTTTGAGACAGTATAGGACTGTAGGCCCTCTAGGGCTAGGCGGTCATGTCAATATATCTATAAAGAAATTGTGTTGTTAAACAAAATTAATATCTGCGTAGAGGGATAATTGTGTCGGAATTTAGTTTATCGATGTCGTCGGACTAAATGACACTCGTACTTGACGACAAACAGTCAGAATTTATACCCGTGCCAAAAGTCCATGTGCCGTTAATAAGGTCCCCAATTCCACTGTATGATTTAAAACTGGGCGCCTAATTGCTTTTTGTTATGTGCCGTGTTGATATATTTCTTCATAATTACTATGTAATATTAAAAATGTCAATATAAAAATTTGACAACGAAAATAGCTGAAAATACGTGAATCATATTCTCTCGCGGGGGTAGGGACATGTATGGCTCATAGCTCACGATCTCTCCAGACAAAAAATAAATTAAAAAAGTAGTATTACAACTTATCTTTTAAAACATTCTGGACCATATCAAAAAGGTAAATATATCGGAAATATCGGCCTTAATCTAACCGATACCGATACATGGCCGATACCGAAAAAATGGCCGATATTGCCGATACCGATACCCGATACCGATACATCGGTACATCTCTAGTCAGCACTCGAAAGCACATTGACAGTAAGATTTTAAATTCACTTTAAAGCTCCCGTGAGTAGATGTAGTAGAGGGCCGCTATGTGCTACGATTGTTCAGCATATAAAAGAGTAAGTTGTAAATGTTCTTATAGGTACCCAATACATTAATGATTTGTCAAGGAATGTAAATTTTGATAAGAGATATGTATATTTTCGGATCATAAAAAAGTTGCAGTGCGAGGATTTATGCTGTGTGATCAAAGCAGTAAGCAAGAATATAAATTGACTGATGGGTGATGCTTTATCTCAAAAATCAAAATTAGCTTACACCATATCAATGAAAACATTTTTGGTGGAGCAACTAAAATTGTCAGCAAAAAAAGAAATGTGGTGAGCGATACCACCCTGAAATTGTGACGTCTGTATGAAAAACATAAATTGAACACACGTATATATTTTAACTTCAATTAATTAGTGTTTTATGATGGAGTTCTACTGATCTTGATAATTTTTTCCCAGACTCATTCTGTCATTGTATACGAAGTCACCAGCTGCATATTACAACATAAGAGGCGTTTTACGTTTGTCATGATAATTCATTTTGCTTGATTTCAGGCTGGTACTAATAACTGTTTTCACATAAATTGGATATAAAATGCATTAATATTTCTCCTAGAACCGTTACATTTTATTAATTCCAATTTGTTTTGTGGGGTATTCACATTTTTGTTTCAAATAATACTTTGTCAAAGTGGCTGTTATACTTATATATAAACACATACATGCTTAGATGGTAGACAAGGTTCAATTGTTGTGGGCAATTTATTTTAAAATACCCTAACTAAAATATAAATTTTTGCAGACGTCTCGAAACTCACTTTTGAAGAATGATTTGCTGTCACCAGATGGGGTTTTGGCATGGAAACGCATCTAGAGGGAATTTATGAAGATATGTCTAAAAAAACGTTTGAAACAGCCATGTAAACTAACAGACCAACATGTTTAACTCAATAGATTGATCTGTTAAATATTAAGCACAGGTATAGCACAAAGAATTGTTTTGGGTTTTAATTCATTTGTATTTTCTTATTAGATCTATCTCTTATTGAGCATTTAAAAACTTGGATCATGATTATTATTTCTAAAATTACCAACAGTATTCGGGTCATTATTAACAGATGAACAGGGGAAATTTTTCTTTGTAGTTTCTTCCTGCATCTGTTGCTAGGATTTCGGAAATGTCTGAATTTGAAGCAACTGCCAAGTTTTGCAAACTGCAAAATACCTTTTTTGACATATGCAACAGCACTACTGACGTGGCTTCCCTCAAAAACGGAAATCTACTACTACTCTCTGAAACATCTGGAGACAAAAGACTGCAGTAGATCAGTTAAAATTTCATAAATTATTTTACACACTGGAAGTCTACAACAGGTGATTAGCTCAAGGATTTTTTAACAAAATAAAGGCTATACAGCTACATGCAACACATTTTGTAGTCATATTTAAAAAAAAAAAAAAATTTCATTGCTTCTCCAGCGTATGAAGGGCTCCAAATACTGGTACCTTCAACATGTGATATACCATATTAGACCAAACATCTGTCAGACCCCGCTTTAATTAAGTGTAAGATAAAAGTCTTCTAAAATGTTTTACTATATCATACATATAAATTTTTCGTGGCTTGAAACACTTTTTAGAGTTAAACCATCAGGACTATTATAAACTAACATTTGCGATCAGACCTGCTAGGTGTTTTGGTCTAACTTGTCAATTATAAATTTCTTCCCCCCCCCCCCCCCCTTCAAAATCTTCAGCTATGCCCGTAGGGCCTCACCCTAAATATTGAATGAATCGCCAAAAGATTTTCAGTTTAAAAGATGCATATTTTGCAGGTCGCGGGGCTGCAAGTTGATTGAAAATAGTCAATAGTCAATTTTATTTTTTCCAACCAGCAAAAAAATAACATACAAAATCAAAAGATAAACAAAATTTAACACACATTTTTACTGGGGAAGGGAAGCCGCGGGGAACCAAATTTGGTTATCGAGCAGCGACACCCAAGATTCGTCATCTAATTTAATTTGGAAACTCGGAAGTTATGTTTGAAGAATAAAATGTACCGGTACAGGTTTGAAAATCCCATCCCATCGGATAACTCGTAGGGTATTCCCTGATTAATCGGGTAAGTAAAGGTGAAATGCTGATACGTGTTGTATATATTGTCTAGAAATAGCCTGAATGCGAACACTATAAACACTAATAATAGTTTATATATAACCATAGTTTAAATAGGCGCAAACATGCAAATGGCAATGAATTATAAATAGGCCATATTACAGGATGAAAAGGACGCGGGAAATCAGTGGTGGTTATCGAGCAGCGGCACCTATAAAATAACTCTGGACACTATATTATAAAGAAGAAAAAGTCAAATACAGTGTAAATAAATTGGAAAATAAAATGCATACAATATCTCGAGGCAATCTGCTATAATCAACAGTCGCTCACTTCAACAAAACACGACTCTGAACACCACTAACTTGGTAACCATGGAGATGGTATTAATGGACTGTGTCACAACAATACTA